CTTACTCAGATCATGCAGTAAATAAGGTTTTTGGCAAAACTGTGAACTCATTCTTTTAAAAGTTTAGTCATCTGTCAACTACTTCCTAAATTTACTACTCAGAATCCTCCACCTTTCTTTTGCAGCAGTGAGTGGGAGTTCTTACATTTGGCAAATGGAAGCTTCCTTAGGTTTCCATTTTGCACTGAAGTGAGCATACATCTCTTGGCATTAAGTACATCACACACTGTATCACCCAATGTACTGCAATTCATGCTTACAAGGGTAATATTTTATTCTTGACTAAATCTATAGCTGTCCATAAGTTAAGAGTATTTTAATTAATTATGAGCACTTAAGGATATGAAAAATATTTTTACTTCAGTCCAGTTATAGCAATCTGCTGTGAAGAGCACTAAGATCAAACCACTAGATATAGTTAGAAGACACAGTCAAGAATAAATTTGGAACAATTATTAATTGTTTATATTTAGAAGTAAATTCCTGTCACTACACTCATATATTTTTTAGGCTGGCTTATTGAAAACTTGTTGAATTTTAATGTCATATCTGTTCACAGACAGATAAAGGTTTGGCAGAAGGCTTGCACGCTGCCTTCAAGTTCTTTTTTCAGAATACATGCATATTCAACATCAAATAGGTATGGAGGGCTTGTCTAACCACTTCATGCCTAGCACACACTAGCACATGATTAACAACACAGTTGGGAAAACCCTTTTGAGACATCAGTGCCAGTTCCCCACTCCTACAGGCAGCAGCATTAAACTGTGCCCTTGTCAAATTTTATCTTAAGGGATGTTAGGTCTTGGAATAGTCTTTGAATATGATCAACAAGGAAGGAGAAAAAAAAAAATCTTACCCACCCACAAAAAAACCCACCACACACACTTAACTGCTTTAAGGTTTTAAAGTCCCTTAAATCACAAATTCCACTTAAAGCAATTCTTCCTCCTCTTTGGCATTTGAACCCCTTGCATTTTACACAAGTGAAGGAAGAGGTAACTCCTTGAATTCTACCAGGCTAAACTAGCTAGGTACCCTGTTACCGTGAGAGGCTTTCTGCCTCTGATCATCCTAAAACCCTTTCCTATGTTCTGCTTTGAATTTTTCTCTCCTGGACACAGACAAGTGTAACCTACATTCAAGGAAAGATCTCACTAGTACATTCTATTAATGCTTTCTGCTAGAGACACCCTATGCATTGCAGATGACACGGACAATAGAACAGTCATTCTACCACTGACTAATCCATCTCCTTCTATGCTATTTAGTGAGGGACCTTCTTTCCCCACCCCTCCAAGTTTAACTGTTGCAGTGGGACTTTATTACCCCGTCCTTCAATCGCCTTTACATATTGGCCCTCTGCATCAATAACACCTCCCCCTCAACAGCATGGCATTACCGGATTTCATTACTATGCTCTGCTTTCTGAACACAGGCCCTTAATAAAGGTGTTAAAAAAAAAAGGTGCCTCAGAATATTATTCACTTATATTTTGTCTTTAGCACCAGAAGGTGTTAGACTGCATTTACTGCTGTCTTCTCTTAACGCAGTTTTATATACATGCATACAAGTATTAAAAGTTCTTGTGTGACACTACATCAATCAAATGCTCTGCTGCAAAGCTCACTCAGTTTCTTGTGAAGCTTTAAGTTTCCCCCCCCCCAAGAGGAAACAAAACAAAACAAAAACGAACAAAAAAAATAGGAAAAAAAAAGAAAAAATCCACCCTCAATAAAGTAATCAAGAATGCTCAGAGGTCAGATCAAATTAACAGCTCTATAGACCAGAGATCACATTTCCTCCTCCTTCGGTAAGTACTGTTCATTAGCCCGCAGCCATGCTGTTCTAACCACAATTTATTGGATTGGTTTGTTTTACAAAAGGATACATTTCACTTAAAACACCATCCATTCAATGAGTCAAACAGAAATAAACTAGCACCACGAATCTAGGAAAAATGCAGAGAGCACACAGACACTCCAGTAATGAAAAGATGCAAGGCTGAGCAAGTAAGTTTATTCAGTATTTCACTTGTTTCCCGATAACACTGCAAGATTTGGATTAGACAGCATTTTTTGCATTTCCTTACATAATAATTCACTACCTGTAAAATCTAATGAACCTCTGTGCAGACTAGGTGGAAATCATGTATCTGAACTGCTTATGAACTCCTAGCCATAAACCCTTATGAACTGGGTACAAGTTATATATTTACAGCTTATCTTGGAGAGATTTTGTTACTTTGTGACTGCTACACATGGCAGAATGTCTGTGTTAAATTATATATTAACATGTGTCTATATTAACAAATATACTCATTTCAGAATTATTTTCAGGACTGTTACTAAAATTTATTTTGAGCATGGTAAGCATGCATCAGATACAACTAATTGTGATCAAATGTTACCACAGAGTTGGGAATACAGCTGGCCTTCTGGCACTTCACTTTGGTATATAATTAAAATATAAAATCACTATCGTTCTAGTGTTAATGGACTTACTATTTGTTTACGGTGAAATAATAACTTACAAACATGATCCGTAAGCTCTGTGTGTGCATGCATAATATTTGTTAAAAAAATAGTTTCATATAAAGGTTCATATAAAGCTTAGTGGGTTGGGGGGGGGGAGCAGAGAGGAGGAGGTGTTGCCAAAATTCTGCTTTCTGTCATCTTAACCTTTACTTGTAAACAACTGATGACCAGTGTGTCAGACTTCACACACAGCAGCATGAAATCTGCCAAGCAACATCTTATTTACGTATGCCATGCAGACAAGACACATGCAAACAAGCACAGGTAATAAATATTTAGCACCTATGTCAAATACCCATCAAAAACTAAAACTGGTTCCCAAGAGGTCATGCTATCATTCCTCACACATGCCAAAGGCTGTTGTCACATTTGTCCTGAGCACAGTTCTGTCTCTGGAGTGACAGCTTTACATCCTCTCTCCATGCAAACTGACACAAATCCTATTTAGCTGTATTAAGATCAAATGAGCTGAGTTGGGAAGCATCCAAATCCAGTCTCAGTCTGAAGCAGTCAGACCAAACAGTGTTTTACTAAAATAACCTCTACAAAATTCCTCTTTTTCGTTTACAGTACGGTATCAGTTAGCCCTACTGAACAACAGATTAAACAATAATAAAAAACCCCTTATATTGTGCAAACTATTGACACAGTCTTGTCCATAAATCCCAGCCAGTAGGTCACGTCTCAGAAATCATTAGACTACCATTGCCTTCCCCAGTGGAAGGTGATCTACACCATCCACCTTTGTTATTCAGTGGCTAGTCAGCCAAGACACAAAGAAAAATCACCATCTATGAGGGAATACAAACAAAGCCATGCCAAGCAAAAAGATAAACACAGCTGTATTATTTTTTTAAGAGATTAAAGAGTTTTTCTACACCTATCCACGGCTTCCAGTGCGACTTAGTCCTAAACCAGGATTTCAGATTATTCTAACCAGGATATTTCGAGAAAGCACTCTGTAATTAGCAAACAACTAATAAGGTAGAGAGAGATTATTCACACACAACCTTTTATAGCAATGCTTTGTAAATTATGTATTTGCTTCCCCAGTTACAGAAGGGTCCTTTCAGTATGCATTATTATATGCAGCAATATATCACCTCCTACTGATGAAATACAGGGAGACTGAAGATTTTTCAGTTCTCAGAAGGACTGAACACCATTTGGTGTGGGGTTTTTTTTGTAGGTTTACAGAAACTGCAATGTAAGTTAACCTAAGGACTTTAGGAAAAAAAAAGAAAAAAAAAAAAGAAAGAAAAAAAGAAAAAAAAAGTTCAACTAACTTCAATGTTACAGTGGTAAACCATGAATTGCTTATTACCCTAAAGATGAGCTTGTTTACTCTTATTTCATATTTCATTTATGTGAGCTCATACATAAGTCTTTCACTGCATTGCATTTTAAGAAATATTGCCTCTACTGAAAACAGATACTGATAGTAAGAACAATCTGCTCTGATTATGCTCTTCAAAGTTCAAAAGTGCGTCTGGTCCAATGACTGATCAAAGCTCTGCGTTAGGCAGTTGGTTCCCCAAGGGAATTATCGTTTCTAACTGGCACAGTAGCAGCAGACTTTAAAATAAAACAAGCAAAAAACCGACTAGAAGGCCGGAAGGGGGAGGCGGCGAGCAGGTGGTGGTGTCAACAGAAAGAAGGGGCAACGAAAAAGACAAGTCCGTACAATAAAAAAAAGGGGGGGGAGAGAGAGAAACAGACATAAAAGAAGAAATAGATATTTGATAATGACTGGTAAAGACCTCTGTGAAGAACTGTATTAGGAGCCCCTGGCGTTTAGTTTTTAGATAACAAAACATGGAGGAAACAAGGTTTCTCCTATATGTACAGGCGGAGACACGTTTCCTGTAGAGAAATGCACAAGCCACGCGCATAGTAAATGGAAGCCAGCAAAGTTTTGCCACCCTCTCGTTAAGCGGGAGTGTGATGAAAGGTCCTCTTTTGAGAGTTGCCAGGGAGCTCTGTGCGTTACAGAAGCGTTACGGCAGCGTTACAGAAGACGGAGTAATCCACCGCCTGCTCTGTGGAGCACAGCTCCCGAAGCTCCATCCCCCCCAGTTCCCGGCGGCAGGACGGCCAGGCACCCCTCCGTCCTACCCACGGCCCATTGCCCGCAGCGCCCCATGGCAGCCGTGCTGGCGACTCCTCCTGCTGAGAGCAGTCGCTGATGTGGCTCCGGAGCGCGGTGCCCGCCGCTCCCTCCCGGCGCCAAGGAGAACTTCCGCGGGCGCTCCAGCCGAAACGCCCCGTCCCGGCACTGGGAGCGGGGACCTGGACTCAGCTCTTCCAGCCCGGCAAAAGCTCACGCCGCGGCACCCAGAGGTGCTCAGCCCTCCAGGATATTAAAATAAATATCGGGCAGCCCCGAACGCCCAGGGTCGGCCGGGCGGGCGGGCGGGCCCCGGGACGGCCCCGCGGGGTGCCTCCCACCCGCGCCCCACTCACCGGCTTCGGCATTTTGGGGGCTGCTTGTGCTGCTCCTACTCCCGAGACAAACGTTCATGCAGCGACTGCCTCGCCTCAGCCGAGCACCCCGCGCGGAGGAGGAACAGGAGGAGGAGGCGGAGGTGGAAGAAGCCGCTCCCGGCCACGGCAGCAGCGCAACCCGCGAGTGCGGCGGCGGCCGCCCGGCGGCGGGTTAAGTACGGCAGGTGGGGCCCGGCGGTGACTCACCGCCGCCGGCCATTGCCCGCCGCTCCCCCCGGCGCCTTCCGAGCGCGGCACCGGCCTCGCCCCGCCGCCGGGCACCCCCGCCGGCCTCGCCGCGACGCCCCCAGGGCACAGGGGGCACCGCGGTCGGGAACCTCCGGCCACCCCCCGGACCCCGCGGGGTGAGAGGCGGGCGGGGCCGCCCGCGAACCGGCGGGCAACAGGTGCCGGGGGGCGGGGGCGGCACCGCCCCGACAGCCCGCCGGGCACGGCCGAGGCGCGGCGGGGCCTTCCTTCTCTCTCTGCCTCCGGACCCCGCGGGGAGACCCTCGCCCCGCCGCCCTGCCCACTGCACACCGTGCCCACTGCGCTGTGGCCGCGCCCGCACCTGCCGCCAGCCGCTCCGGGGCCAGCGGCGTGGCCGGCACTTCCCAGGCCGGGAAAGTGTCCGCTTAGGAGAGGACCCGGAGGGACGGCTGCTTTGCATGGGCTCACCGAGTCCCTCGCTGCCCCGGCCTCCACCAGCCCGGGAAAGGGAGAATGAGTTCCATGTTTCTGTAATTGTGGGCACAGACGCTGGTCTGTAATAGTCGCTGTGTTTCTTGATCTGTGAGGTCGGAAAACATGATTAGTTAACAAAACACAGGGTTGCTTTCTGTGTAAGTGCATTTTCAGCAAAACAGAAAACCAAAAATCCATCTAAGCTCAGAAATAATAAAGCAAAGAGTATCCTTCAGTTGGTTCTGACTTTTCATAAAGCTGAAAAAAGTTCATGTAAGTAGTCTAACAATCTATAGGCATACAAAGATGACAAAGTCCGTGTGTCTGCCCCTCGTTCCTTCTCCCTCCTCCCCCATGAATGCAATGCACTCCTGCAGATGGTGTCTGCCAGGAGCTGCTGGCCTCCCACAGCATCTCCTTGCTTGGCTGGTCACAAGAGCACATTGTATTTACATAGTCATGGGCAACGGCCTGTAGGACACAGCTCTTCCGCTGTGCCGGCAATGGCATGTAGTTGAGCTGTAAGACTGAGGAAATCACACAGCCTGTACCCAAGCTGCTGTCTGCAACATCCCACCAGTGTCTGTCTGTCTGGTCAGAAAAGGCATAGGACAGGAACAGGGAGGCACAGAACAAGGAGAACAACAACGCACTTAATGGAAAATATATAGGGCAGGAGAGAGCCTGGGAAATATCAAGGGATGGGAACAAAAAGGACAGGCCTAATAATACAGGTCCTGCTTTGGCAGAGATCCAAATGATGTTTTCCCTCACAGAGTCCACCAAACAGCAATTGGTTGTGCCACATTAAAGAAGCATTACTGTGTCAGGTCTGTGAGAGAAAGGGGAGGGGAGCTGAGTTGAAGGCTGAGAGAATTCATGGTTATATTCCTTTCCTGTTGCATGATCCTTTGGGATTAGAGGAGGCTTTACCATCAAAACAGACCCATGGGGGTGGCAGCTTGCAACAGCAGGTGAGAAGAAATAGTCTAAGCTGAATAGTTTCCAAGAAAAGGGCCATGGGATCAAACATCCTTGGGAAACAGGTATGGCCTCCATTTTCAGATGAAACAATACCACTGAGAATTACTTGGATCAAGTTAATTTAACAAAATATGTTGACATTTGCCTGGATCAGGTTAATTTAACAAAAGTGTGATTTGTGAGGAGGCTTTCTATGCTCTTCTGTTAAGCAATAAGTTTATGGTGGGAATCATGCCTTATTCAGTAGGATGACCCTGGAAACAAACCAGACCAGATTATCAGAGTGTTTTGGATAGGCTGCCAAGCACAAGGAACAACTGTTCCAAGTAAGAAATGCTGTAAGAACCCAGCTTTTGCAGCTTGCACTCAGAACCCTGAGTAGCACTCATGGATTTTTTGGGGGGGTTGAAAAGGATAGAGATGAGATATTTTCATTCCATAGTCTTAAAATACAGATTTTGGCCATGACTGGAAAAAGAAAAGACAAAACAAGTGTGTGTGTCTGCATACCCCTGAAACAGAGCATTACACAGATCTAAGGGCAAGCCAATTTCCATTCTGTGAGATTTCCATTCCCAAAATCCTCTTCTGAGTCCATAGCTCAACATGGGATCAGAGACCATCACCCTGGGGCTTCACGTTGAAGAAACTCCATGTCAGAGAGATGTCTCATTTAATAAATCATAATTTCTTCAATCAGTAAGGTAAGTATTTGTTTCCATATGTTAGTTACATGTCCAAGCTTAAACCCCTGGTTTTGGTTTGGTTCATTGTTTTTTTTAAAACACTTACCATTGCTTCATAACCACACAGACCTAGAGGCAAAAGGAATTCAGGTGACTAATAATTAAGTATGGCAACATACAATCTCTAGGTTCCTGTTTGCCACAGCACATTACCTTGTGCCATTCTCCCACAATCACCTGCAATACCTGGGAAAAGGTAGATACCTCAATGGCATCCATAACTATCAGCTTACCCAACACCACTCCACCCAAAACCAGCCACTGTGAACATATTGATCTTGCACAGGAAGAATTGTCTTCAGTGGAAGGAACCAGAACAACTGCCAGCTTGGAATATGTGTTAGACACCTATCGCCTCCTTCTTGGGCTTTCCTTCTTGGTGCCTTCCTTTATATTTCTCTTTCCACCTCTGCCCTAGAAAGACGGAAAGGTATATTATGCAAGCCCCTTCTTCCCTTTTATAGAGAAGCACACTCATCCTTTGCAGATGCAAACCAATCTAGTTGCCCTCTCCTCCAGAGTGGGGGTAAAATGCCTCAGTTATCTGTTTTTTCTGAGAGTGTCCTGAAAATCAATATAGTGAATTTTGGGAGCATGGGCACTGTGTGTAATACCAATAAGCATTGTCTAAGAATGCCTACAGACTGAATCCCTTCTGGAGTCTGTATAAGGGAATATTGGAGAAGGCATGAAGTAAGTGCAAAACAACCAACCCACATCAAGACATCCTGAGGCAGAAATATAAACATAAAAAACCCAGATACAAATGTGCAATCTGGGGAAATTTCCACATGAAAACTGTATGGAACTTGGTTACTTCTAGATTTAGGCATTAGCTAAGCAAGAGACAGCTTTTATGTCTACCTGAACTACATCATCTTCAGTCAGACCTCAGAATTAAGCATAAGACCCAAATCAAAATGAAGCCTTTAAGTTACAGGATTAAGATCTGCTCTGATCCAGCACTTACTCTTAACCTGCTTTATTAAGAGGATAGCATTACTAACCTTTTACAGGAATTAATAAGGCAGAGGAGGTGATGAAAGAATCCCGATTGCTCAGCAGGTCAGCAGCAGGACCCAGTTTCTGTCTTCCTCCCTGTAACAGTTCCTGTACCTCACTGACCCCTGATCAAGCTGTGTCATCCTCACCGAGCCTGCCTTCCTTGTTTTAGAGAGAAGACCCATTTAATTTTCCTGTTCTACTTTAATCTGTAATAACATTTCAACTTGATGTGAATAATTTATGAAGTCCAAGTATTTGCCTGAATTTTCTCAAGCAAGTCCTATCACTATAAAGTGGCTTTTGCTTAACAGGCTTTGTGCCAGCCAATTTTTAGTCACCATAAAACTTCCGAAGCTGGATCATCCTGGAACTGGGAAACATGGAATCTTGTGCCTTAAATTCTCATTCTTGTCGCTCAAACAAAATCAATAGTCTCAATAAGAGACAGACCTGAACTCCCTGTTTCTCCATATAGAAAGCTTCATCCAGGTTTGGCGAGGCATAGCTGGAAGAGTTTTGCAGCATCTTTGGTGGTTTGTTTACGGATTTACTCCAAGGATTTTTTACTAACTGAAAATCTACAGTAGCTAACTCTGTCCTCTTGACAACTCACGGACTGTGCATTTAGTATAGCAGTTAAAAGAAAGAACATTCATTGTAGTAGTTAATGGAAAGGATGCCATGTTCTGAGACGTATAGATTTAAGGAGATTTGCTCTCATCTAGGTCAAGAGTCTTTTGTCTGATTTTCTTTGTCAATTGGAAGAGTTGTAGAAGGAAAAAGAACCATACGGTATTACAGACAAGAGCTTCCTTTTCATTGTGCATAACTAGATAAACAGCTTATTCCCCACTGCACTTTCTGAAATTTTGGCAATATAATTCCCGAAATGTCAGACTTCAGGAAGAGTGACCAAGGACCTGGCGAGTTGTATTTCTGTCTGTACTGAGAGCTGCTTCCTCACTACCCACACTGAGCTTATTGAACCCAATGAATTCAGGTCATGGGGGACCAGCATCTGTTGACAAAGCACTCTCGAAACATTCTCTGGGTTTCCTATGAAGGGGTAAAAGAGCGCAAAGCTGGTGCCTCATTTTCCTTGTTCCTAAATGAGAAGCTGCTGCCAAGTTCAGTTGTTTGTTGTTGGTTTGGGGTTTTTTTAGTTTTTTCTTTCAGTAAGCATGGATTCCCACAAAGCTGGGGTTTTTTCTGTACCAACAAATGGCTAGGTGCAGTCAGGCCTGGAAATAAACCTCATTACATGATCCAATGGTTACATGCTGGGAGACCCTTATCTTTACAATCATTCTGTTTTCCAGCAGCACCCCCAAGCAGTCCTTGGGATTATCTGGCTCTCTGATTGACTATCATGGAGCCTTATGAGGACATGGTAGATTATGAAGAAATGTATATATAATTAAGTTTATGAAGGATTGTTTTAAAATGTTGTAAGAAGGAAAAAGAAGTAGATGACTTCAGGCTTTTATCTGGTTTGTTCTCACCCATCATAAAAGGAGAGAAAAGCTTAAAGGAAGATTATGAATATGTTTCTTCTCTGCAACAGTTCTGAGAAGTCCCAAAGACAGTTTGCTTTCAGTTCCCATGAGAGTTGCCTTAGCAACCACTCCAGTTACACATTCTTCACTCTTCTGCCACAGGAAAATTTCACAGGGAGTGATGCAAAATGTGCAATAAAGTCTTCTTTTCAACTGAAACAAAACAC